TGGGCGGTAAATAGTCTCTATCCAAAGAAGAAAATAGTAGCTGCAATTCCTCGACTCAAGAGCCCTTTAGGAGCCTCAAGAGACACCCCCTTCTCGACTCCTTGGAGATGTCGAGCGGTGAACACCTGAGAGGTCGAGCGGTGAACACCTGAGAGGTCGAGCGGTGAACACCTGAGAGGTCGAGCGGTGAACACCTGAGAGGTCGAGCGGTGAACACCTGAGAGGTCGAGCGGTGAACACCTGATATGTCGAGGGGTGAACACCTGAGATGTCGAGGGGTGAACACCTGAGATGTCGAGGGGTGAACACCCGAGATGTCGAGCGGTGAGCACCTGAGATGTCGAGGGGTGAACACCTGAGATGTCGAGGGGTGAACACCTGTGATGTCGAGGGGTGAACACCTGAGATGTCGAGCGGTGAACACCTGAGAGGTCGAGCGGTGAACACCTGAGAGGTCGAGGGGTGAACACCTGAGAGGTCGAGGGGTGAACACCTGAGAGGTCGAGGGGTGAACACCTGAGAGGTCGAGGGTGAACACCTGAGAGGTCGAGGGTGAACACCTGAGATGTCGAGGGGTGAACACCTGAGATGTCGAGGGTGAACACCTGAGAGGTCGAGGGGTGAACACCTGAGATGTCGAGGGGTGAACACCTGAGATGTCGAGGGGTGAACACCTGAGATGTCGAGCGGTGAGCACCTGAGATGTCGAGGGGTGAACACCTGAGATGTCGAGGGGTGAACACCTGAGATGTCGAGGGGTGAACACCTGAGATGTCGAGGGGTGAACACCTGAGATGTCGAGGGGTGAACACCTGAGAGGTCGAGGGGTGAACACCTGAGAGGTCGAGGGGTGAACACCTGAGATGTCGAGGGGTGAACACCTGAGATGTCGAGGGGTGAACACCTGAGATGTCGAGGGGTGAACAACTGAGAGGTCGAGCGGTAAACAAGCTTCAAAGATTCAACAGTAAACAAAACAACAAGAAATAAAGCATAATAAAGCTTAAGCAGACAAGCTAATATCGTAATTGAACACGCAATAAAACGAATTAAAATTAAATGAGACGTAAGATTGATCTGATAAGGGTCTCCTGAGATCCCGAGACGGAGGAGGAGATGGAGATAGAGAACTAGGAAGGATCAGACCAAGAAAATAGAGAAAAGAAAGATAAGAGGGACGGAAAAGACTTTAGAGAAAGACAATGATTAATTAAGAGGAGAAAGTGTTGGAGGAGAAGAATAAGAAAGAGAAAACTTGAGGTTATTCAAAGCTGTTTACACATCACGAACATAACTCACTAAAACACATTTTAAATAAAACAACTCAAATAAAACACAGCCTAACTTGCATAAAATACTATAATTCCATAAAATAACATAACTCGCATAAACCACAGCATAACTCACATAAAACACAGCATAACTCACATAAAACACAGCATAACTCACATAAAACACAACATAACTCACATAAAACACAGCATAACTCACATAAAACACAACATAACTCACATAAAACACAACATAACTCGCTTAAACCATAACATAGTTAACATAAAACACAGCATAACTCTCATAAAACACAGCATAACTCACATAAAACACAACATAACTCGCTTAAACCATAACATAGTTAACATAAAACACATAACTCACATAAACGCAGTAAAAGGTAATGAACAGATAATAACACACAAAGCATGTATAAATCACACAAAACTCCCACGTTACTCACACAAAATACAACATAACTCGCAAAGCGCAACACAGCTCACATAAACCACACAAAAACTAAAACCATCCAGCTTTTAAAACAAGAAGTATATTTAGTTATAAATTTGATAAACTCGCTATACTGTGCACAACCAATAAACTCGTTCACACATGATTCCTAAATTATTACGAGGTCTATACAAATACCTCGCTACCCAGGTCTTTACAGACCCCACCATCGCCGAGGTCTTTACAGACCTCACCATTCTACGAGGTCTCTAAAGGCACCCAGTTACAGAGGCCTCAGTAGCCTAGTTAATTATGCAATGTCTTACTCGTAGGAGGCCCCGAATTATCGTTTACTACGTACATAATATACAGACAAGACGGTTGCAACTACGGGAATATCAAGTCGGGTGAAACATCCTGTATAGAACTCATGGTTATTCCACAAAGGTATAAAACATACTGAAATTATGCTGTGGTAGTGGCACAGTGTAAGCTGCACAGAGAGGAGCAAGATTCCCCGCAGTCAGAAGTCCTTGAGCAAGGTAGGTGTGTTCTCAATCGATAGAGAATTGTCTCACTAAGATGAGGAAGGGAAGTAGAGCAAGAGGAGGGGAAGAAAGAAAAGAGGAAAAATGATGAAAAGGCGGGAGGAGGATAGAAGAAAATGGGAGAAGGGAGGAATTTGAAAAAAAAAAAACAGAGAAGGGAAAACAATAGTGCAGGTGAGCAGTTTAAGAATAAGGCAAGAGGCAAGGAGAAAGACAGGCAGAAAAGGAAAGGCTAGAAAGAGGAAAAGAGGCAAGAGAAACTAAGAGAAGGGAAATAAATGAGGCAAAAGAGACAAAAATGTTGAGAGAGAGAGAGAGAGAGAGAGAGAGAGAGGGAGAAAGGACATTATTAATAATGACAATGGATATAAGAAGAATTCAGAGTAATTAAGAAATAATTTTACTTATTAGTAAAAACTAATAAATGATAACACTGAATTAATGCCAGATTATAACAATTAGAAGTAGATATAAATACCGTATAAGCTTGTGTTTCTTATTTTTTGCGAATCTTTTGCTCTCACCGTGTGTGTGTGTGTGTGTGTGTGTGTGTGTGTGTGTGTGTGTGTGTGTGTGTGTGTGTGCGTGCGTGTGCGTGTGTGTTTATGTGTGTGTGTGTACTCACCTATTTATGACTGCAGGGGTCGAGACACAGCTCCTAGGGCCCCGCCTGTTCGCTGTGTACTCACCTAGTTGTGCTCACCTAATTGTGGTTGCAGCGGTCGATTCACAGCTCCTGGTCCCGCTTCTTCACTGGCCGCTACTAGGTCACTCTTCCTGCTCCATGAGCTTTATCATACCTCTTCTTAAAGCTATGTATGGATCCTGTCTGTACTACATCACTTCCCAGTCTACTCCACTTCCTGACAACTCTGTGACTGAAAAAATACTTCCTAACATCCCTGTGATTCATCTGAGTCTTCAAGTTCCAACTGTGACCCCTTGTTGCTGTGTCCCATCTCTGGAACATCCTGTCTCTGTCCACCTTGTCAATTCCTCTCAGTATTTTATATGTCGTTATCATATCCCCCTATCCCTCTTGTCCTTCAGTGTCGTCAGGTTGATGTCCCTTAACGTCTCCTCGTAGGACATACCCCTTAGCTCCGAGACTAGTCTAATTGCAAACCTTTACACTTTCTCTAGTTTCTTCACGTGCTTGGCTAGGTGTGGGTTCCAAACTGGTACTGTATACTCCAATATGGGCCTAACGTGCACAGTGTACTGGGCCCCGAACGAGTCCTTTTTAAGATGTCAGAGTGCTCTTCTGAGGTTTGCTAGGCGCCCGTATGCTGCAGCAGTTATTTGGCTGATGTGCGCCTCAGGAGATGTGCACAGTGTTATACTCACCCCAAGATCCTTTTCCTTAAGTGAGGTTTGTAGTCTCTGGCCCCCTAGAGATATATATCTATATAATATATATATATATATAAATTATATATATATATTATATATATATATATATATATATATATATATATATATATATATATATGAGAGAGAGAGAGCACAGTCCCACTGGGACAAACCGATCACGGAAAAAAATCGCCAACACAATGCTCACCAGCACTTCAGGAAAGGACAAAGCTCGTTTCCCAGCGGTGAAGGCACCACATTCAAGAGATTTCCTTTTAGCTGTTCCCAATTCCTCCCTGGGCACTCGAATTGACCCACAGGCCATTCGGATTAGTGTTGCACTTCGCCTAGCCGCCCCTAGCCTCACCGAACATAGGTGTATTTGCGGCAGGGCGACGGCTGATCAATTCGGACTTCATGGTCTCGTGTGTCACACAGCAGAAGGGAAGTATGCTAGACATGAGGGCAACGACATCATGGAGAGAAACCTCGCCACAGCCCGTTGCTCAGGTCAACGGGAACCCCAAGTGCAGAGGTCTGACGTAAGTCAAAAGCGTCCTAATGGAGCCACTATGCTAACCTGGAAGGATGGTAAGCAGATTGCCTGGGACTACACCTGTGCCTCCACATTGGCAGACACTTGCCATACTCTGAAGCTGAAAGGGATTGAGCCGCGAGCTACAGGGAGACCCAGAAGATGGGCATATATGACGGCCTTTCCCCTTGCTATAACTTCATCCCAGTAGGCTCAAAGCCCCTTGGAGCATGGGACAAGTGTGCTCTAAAGTTCCTCAAAGAGCTGGGTGAAAACCCCATCACAGAAACCAAGGATCACAGAGCGGCCAGCTTCCTCTTTCAGAGACTCAGTGTTGTGATCCAGAGGGTAAATGCTTGCAGCATTCTGGGCAGGCGGCCCACCGCCGGGGAGCTGGACGAGTATTTGAGACAGCTCTGAGATGTTATCTATGTTATTCTACTTCCTAGTTTATTTTTGTCAATGTATTTTGTCTTTAAATAAAGTCTACATAGAATATAGGGGTGGTAGGAGACAATATTCAAACAGCTTCAGGGAGAACCTTGAGATTTCCCTGAAGTAAGTTTATTCTTTTCTCTAAGGATGAGGGTCCCCAGGACAGTTCCAGAGGTGGTATCTCCCTATATATATATATATATATATATATATATATATATATATATATATATATATATATAATATATATATATAGTCTAATGATAAATTAATTACAGTTCTTAAATAATAATTGCTGTGTCCAAACTCATTAAACACTCAAATATAATTATTTGCATCAGGGGAAGTAATACATCACCTGTATGCAAATTACGCGACTGAGCAATTAAGCTTCATCAGAGCCTCACCTTAATTACCAGGTAACACGGAGGTGGTGGCAACCACTACCCCAGCACGGCCCATCAGCGCAAGCCATAGGCCTACTCATAGCCCATCAACAGGTCATTATCCTGTTGGTAAAAGAACGGTTTCTCTCCCCTCTTCAGTGTGTTGGGATCTTGAAAGTTCGTCAGGAATTTCTTGTTCTCTATCTCTCTTTTACGGAGTTTCTGTCATCTCTAATGAACCCCAGAAAGTTTCTGTCATCTCAAACGAACCCCTGTTTTCATAATTGTGATCACTCGCTCGATATCCTCAGAAAAACGCTTAAACAATTCTTCAGTAGCTACCTCAATTACTAAGGTCAAAATTCACTGCAAGAGGTCATTTAAGAAGCACACATTTGACCATCGATGATCGGTTGTTATACTTTTCCAGTCATTAATGTGTTCATTACAATCCACAAACAGACTTGAAATGTACAATGCTATAAGTATACTCCCATCTACTCATTTCGATAATTTACACACACACGTATCAACACTGCCATACTAGTTATCTGGTGGTTCCAGCTTTAACTAATGCACTTGGGAGCAAGAAAGTTTTAGTTCCAGTTGATCACGCACAAGTATTTTTAGGCGGGGGTCATAGTAGAGCCTAACATATTGTTATTGATCTTCTGAGTTTGTTTACACAAGCGTCAAGTCATCCAGAAACCGGGAAAGGCGGCCAAGATTTATGTCAACGTTTAAGAAGGCAGTTTTGATGAATGATTTAAGCATTGTGATACCTGCGTGGAATATATAACGTAACTCGAGAAAAAACCTCATGAAATTCAAATTGAGATCATGAAACCATGAAGACAATTGTGTGTGTATTAAATTAGGTATAATCACAGTCTCTCATATATCTTTTCTCCGTCTACCTTGAAGTGTATCTGAAATGGGCAAAAGCGCACAAGCATTCACACACACACACACGTCTGGACCAGCATACGAGTCCGGAGCGCCACACGCGGTGCCAGAGAGAGTAGCTGCAACACCCTCCAACTGCGGTGGTCGGGTAACAACTGGCATCCTGGCCAAGACTTTTCTCCTATCTGGAAACTCCAGTCACGCACAGTTGCCACTTGTAGATTTTTTTTTTTTTTTGCTGGATTAAGAATTTGACTCTTCGTAAAGAAAATGGCCCTAGATTTTAATTTACACAAATAAATTTGTATGTACTTGTTATATTAGCTGTGTATAGCTTGAGTTCATGGCTTGAAACAATGTTAGTTTTATTAATTTTATTGTTCTTGTTGAATTATTAGTTTCGGTAAACACACACAAACACAGCTGGAAGCTGAAGACTCAGGTAAGTCACAGGGGTGTCAGGAAGTATTTCTTCAGCCACAGAGTTGTCAGGAAGTGGAATAGTCTGAAGAGCGAGGTAGTGGAGGCAGGTACCATACACAGATTTCAGAAGATAAAGTTCATGGAGCAGGGAGAGAGTGGACCTAGTGGCGACCTGGTGGACCTAGGCTGGAATATTGCTGTACATTAACATCTCCGTTCAAAACAGGTGAAATTGCAGATCTAGAGAGTGTACAGAGAACCTTTACTGCACACATAACTTCAACAAACACCTCAATTACTGGGAACGCTTGGAAGCACTTGACTTGCACTCGCTGGAACACGGGGGAGAGATATATCATAATCTACACTTGGAAAATCCTAGAAGGGATTGTCCCGAATCTGCACACAGAAAGCACTCCCTACGAAAGTAAAAGACTTAGCAGGCGATGCAAAATACCCCCAATGAAAAGTAGGGGCGCCATTGGTACACTAAGAGAAAACACCATAAGTGTCCGGGGCCCAAGACTGTTCAACAGCCTCCCACCATGTATAAGGGGAATTACCAATAAACCCCTGGCTGCCTTCAAGAGGGAGCTGGACAGATATTTAAAGTCGGTGCCGGATCAGCCGGGCTGTGGTTCGTACGTTGGACAACGTGCGGCCAGCAGTAACAGCTTGGTTGACCAGGCCCTGATCCACCAGGAGGCCTGGTCGTGGACTGGGCCGCGGGGGCGTTGATCCCCGGAATACCCTCCAGGTAGACAAGAGGTGGGGCCAGGAGCTATTGTCAGCATAGTTGCTGATCCCCTGTATATGTTTATGTAGCATATATGAGTATCGTAATTAGTACCATCTATATAGTTTATGGAATTTGTGCATGGGGCTCAACAACAATAAACCATCTCAGACCACTAATCACCCAACAAAAGGCTGCAGTCAGAATGATAACAAATTCCCACTACAGACAGCACACTCCACCAATATTCAAAACTCTAAACCTACTGACAATACAAAACATCCATACTTATTACTGCACCTACTACATACATAGAACACTTAACTCTGACATAAACCCTCCCCTCAAACATCTTACCAACCTCAACAGAACACATGACCATAACACAAGGCACAGATCACTCTTTGATGTTCCTCGTGTCTATCTCACGCTATGCTAAAACTCAATGCACATAAAAGGCCCTAAAATCTGGAATTCATTACCTGTGAATATAAAAGAAACACTGTTTATAAATTCAAGTCTCTTCTCAAAAATCACTTACTCACCCACAACTAAATAAATACTGAATAATTGTATCTCATAAATTGTATCTCATATATGTATCTCATTATTGTATCTCATAAATGTCAACCTGTGACCCAATCAAACTTTGTTACTATTTAACTTCATTATCTAACAGAATACTCCATTCTACTGATTACACAGCAACAGAGTAAATGACCATATGACCTGTCTTTGTAATACTCATTTGTACTAAATTGTTATCTGTTTTTCAATAATTTTTGTACCACTGAATATATCATTGCTTAGTTAATCTTAAGTTAATTTTAAGCCTGCCCATAATGCTCTGCATACAAGGGGCTTTGGCATGCTACACTTTAAAAATTGTATTCCTTGTACTTCTCTGTATCATGTTCAAATAAATAAATTAAATAAATAAATAAATAGACGATCCCTTGCTAGGCCTAGGGGCTAGCAAGTGACGTCACACAGTGCCACTAGTGAGCGTCCCTCACTATGCCTCCCTCTCAGATCCAGCGTAGGCTTCAAGGCGACAGGTAGGCTTGGCCATTCCCCTCACAACTCTGCTAATGTAAGTGAAAACGACCCAGCAAGTGTGTGTATCTCCAACCATCATATCTCAACGGAACCCTCTCAACACTATGACTCGGTCCCTGCAGCCCTGTACGCGCGCGCGCGCGTACAGCATGCCACAGACACGAGAGAGAGAGAGAGAGAGAGAGAGAGAGAGAGAGAGAGAGAGAGAGAGAGAGAGAGAGAGAGAGAGAGAGAGAAAGGGGGATCAGCCAGGAAGATTGGAACTATTATTACCATGAATGCATCCGATGTAAACAGAACAAAATATGAAAGGCCTCTCATCGGTAGCGACTATTCAATGTTGAATAGCATGATGAGAATGGGAGAAACCAAATTTCAGAAGAGGAACCTTTGAAAGAATTCCTAAATGCATTCAAATAGGAGAGGAAACTGGAAAGAACGTAAACGAAAGAGATGGTGAAGTTCCTGGCTGGAAAATACCCGGAGGCGTGGGCTTTCATACCTAGAAGAGAAAATAATAAAAAAACCGTGGTTCAACCAAACATGCAAGAGCATGGGAAAACTGTATAAAGCGAAAGGCAGAAAATGCCGAGAAGTGAGTAAAAGAACCAGGAGCGAATATGGAATGGTGAGAAGAGAAGCTGACCAAAAATTGAATGACATAGCAATAACAGCCAAGTCTAAACCGATCCTGCTTAACAATCAGCTAAGAAGAAAACGACAGTGAAAGACTACGTAATAAGACAACAACTAAAGAGAGAGAGAGAGTGTTAGAAGAAGTGACAGCGAAGTCTGTGAAGAATAGAACAAACGATTTAAGGTTTGCTCCGTGGAAAAAAGGGGCATCACCAGACAAACAAAAAGGGCTCATAATCCGGTACTGGACACCAAATACACGGCAGGATGTGAGGTGAAACAAAAAACTTGAGTTACCGGCTACATCTAAAGCAATGGGACCCGATAAAGTATAGCCATGGATTCTCGACAGTCGCCATTGTTTTAATCATGGGGGAGCGCTAACCCCGTAGGAATTATACAGCGCCTATAGGGGGAGGGGGTGATGGAAGGTATTCAAGCTCAATTCAGGGAACTGGAGCACAGATCCAATTCCCTAGATCAAGAGCCCCTCACCCTTGAGGAGTCGACAGTTACCAAAGATCTTGAAGATACCGAATGTAGCCTGACATTTAAGAATGGATACAGGCAAGAAGTATTAAACTACACACCAGTATCACACACAAACATGCTGTATAAGGTAATGGAAATAATCAGGAGAGTGGAGTATGTGTAAACAAATGGTTTCATAAGTAATAATTGATATAGGTTATGAGATGGCAAATTTTGTCTCGAGCAGTTGCTAGAGTTCTTTGAGAAGGTAACAGAAGGGACGCAGGATAGAGGGTTAGGTGGATTGTATCTTGGATTGCAGGAAGACAAAAATTTGAGAAGCATCCAGGAAATAACAGGGAATGCGCTACAATGGACCCAAGAGTATGTCACTGAAACAGTGATCGTACGTGAAGAGCTGGCAGAAGCGGAAAGCATAACAAGTGGAGCTCTACAAAGATCAGTTCTGTGATCAGTACTGTGTCTGGTTACTGCAGAAAATGGTGCTGTACCTAGTGGAGTAATAACAGACTTCGGAGGCGAACCTTAGATTTATTTAGCATAATAGTACAGGCAATATCTTGGCAGCCAGCCCACGCTAAGGCTGAGGGCCTTGGCGAAAGAGCTGGGGAGAGGCATGTTTCTAGTAGTATGTCTGGTGCATGAGTGAGAGGAATGTAGCGACTTGCCCATCCAGCTCCAGGTTTGAACTCGGACCACCAGACGGCAGTACGAGGCCTAGGTGGAGTGAAGCAAAAATGTAACCCCCTGTCGAGTCTTATATGGTATATGTAAATGATATACCAAATTCAAGTTTTCTCTCAATCTTTTAATTATGCAGACCCTTCCTCCATCCATCATTATTTTGCCCCTCCCATCATTATTTTTCCCCCAACATGAAACATGAAGCACCAGCGTGAAAGCCTCATCACCTTGTTAAGTATACGAAGAACCAAGAGATGATCTAAAGGTTTGCAAAGAGATTAGAATCTGAGGGGAATAGCATACAAGGAAAGACTTATTTATTTTAATTTATTTATTATTAATTTGGGCATGATACATAAATGTACAAAGAAATACAGAGGTTAAGTGTACATGCCAAAAGCCCTTTGTATGCAGAGCATTATGGGCAGGCTTAAAATTAACTTAAGATTAACTAAGCAATATATTCAATGGTAAAAATTACAGTAAACAAATAACGATTAAGCACAAATGAGTATTTCAAAGACAGGTCATATGATCATTTGATGAGTTACTGTGCATTCAAGAGAATGGAGTATTCTATTAGGTAATGTAATTAAAAAAGCAAAATTTGATAGGGTCACAGGTTATAATTTATGAGATACAGTTATGCAGTATTTATTTAGTTGTGGGTGAGTAAGTGGTTTTTAAGAAGAGACTTGAATTTATAAACAGTGTTTCTTTTATATTCACAGGTAATGAATTCCAGATTTTAGGGCCTTTTATGTGCATTGAGTTTTTGCATAGTGTGAGAGGGACACGAGGAACATCATAGAGTGATCTATGCCTTGTGTTATGGTCATGTGTTCTGTTGAGGTTGGTAACTTTAATATATAACACGAGGAAAGAGAAGTACCAAAGGAGATAAAATCATGACATACAAAATAATCTGAGGATTCGAGTGGATAGGAACACACTGAGATGCGAGGAGAGAGAGAGCCAGAAACCATAAATGCCAGGTAAAAACATAGATGACCATTAGTAAGTTACGCAGATGGGGTGCGTAAGTAGTAGACGATAATAGTTGTGATTAGTAAGTAGGACCAGGTACATACATAGTTACACAAATTCTTGT